AATCAGAACATTAGTTTACTGCTTACGAAAAAAAGTGTAATTCATCAAGAACCACTGAATGTAGCTCGTCACGCGCGCATATGAAATTCCTCATCGTTGTTGAGGAATCTGACTGCAACAGTGGAAACAACATGAAGATGCAAGAATTTTCTTCCCGGGCATGTCTGCAAGAATACGGCTATTAAAAATATTACAGTTACGGTTAAAACGCTGGAGATTGTTTGTGCTTATTTTCGGTAACATTCACCAAAATGTAATGAGTAATACTTGAGGCACTTCATCAAATACTTTATTGCAATTGCAATCAAGTTCACATGAGAAACATCGATAGATGCTGTAAAACAAAAAAGACAGAACACCATTCGGCGTAAGTTCCACAGTTTGTAAGTTCCACAGAACACAATATATCCTTGTGATGAATTCGATATTAAATACACAATTATAACACTACTCAATCAGTTTGCACATGGCATATCTTCTACCATTGTAATGTTAACCAGTTCCTCAAATGGAACAATAGTTCAATATGAATTATTCACCGTTAGAACACGGTTTGACCGCAGATCCGAATAAGTGGACTGTTCAAAATGGAGACATTAATATACAATCAAACAGTAACACGTTGTCAATGAAATGAGAACAAGTGGGATAACGCTAAATTTAGCTTGAATAATTAGGTTAAATAAGTCAGAAAGTATTGAATTTAAAAAAAAACATCACGAACAGAGTTGGTGAAACGAATTTATTTGAAAGAGTTTCTATATCGAATGGAGTTTCAAAATAGAGTAGTTTTATTTGATGCTGAATATCGTTTCATTATCTCGAAACAATCAGAAAATAACAAAATTTTCTATATCGTTTCCCAACAAATTCTGACATGATGACGGTACGGAGTTGGAACTCAGAATTTCATTCATTAAAAAGCGTTAAATATCATTGACGAATGCACGTTTCTTCAACATACTTCACACGATTTTGAATGACACAAGGACTGCGTTCAATCAAAATTCGTTGAAAGAATTCATTCAAAACAATAATAAACGTTTCAAACAAACGAACAAAATACTAATTGAAATAATATTATTGTTACAGTTCCACCAATAACATTCATGCTCAAAAATGAAAATCATAAGACTTAACGGAAAGACAAATGAGAAGAAGCAGAAGAAGAAACGAGTAAAGCTGAAGATATGAAAACCAGAAAAGATGTCATCATCTCCTACCCACACATTCACATTCACCACTTTTCATAGCATAATTGACACAATCTGATTGACCACTTGATAAAGAGAATAACTTTTAATTACACAAAATTCTGTGATTTCACTTAAACAACAAATTGTTTGTGTTTGCGATCGCAGCATTCACTTCCTCTTTATACATTGCCCACAACGATGAAATCATCTTGCATTTTTTACCTGAGACTTAATAAGATTGGTCACCAACAATAGTAAACAGTACAAAACCAATCTATATCGGAAAATAGTATACTTCTCAGTTGAACTGGTAATTCTGTGACGTTTCATAAACGTTCTCAGATGTTCTAATGGTGCTGTTCTAGAACACAACTTTTATTACGACGAAAACGAAATCTTAGAAGAACGGTGGAAAGTTTAATTCGTTAATTGCAGTTAGTGCAAACTTTAGCCGCTTTTTAAATGTCTTTATACTCAGTTAAAAATCGTTTAGCGACCNAAAAGCACAACTTCTTCAGATGCTAGCAGCCAAAGAGTGAAAATGCCCTCGAATCAAGATTGGAAAATCTGATAATTTATAAAATATGGATGAGCGAAGAAAGCTCATTTTGATGTCTTAGACTGTTTAGCAAAAAAGAATTCAGACAGGAAACGTTAGGCAAAGATTGGAAAGAATCAGTGAATTTTAGCGTGAATTGAAAACATTGTTTAACAATCAAAAATTGATTGGATTATATTCAGTTATTCATTGAAATTCAAAAAAATCTAAAATTATTGAATTTCCGATCTCGTGAATCATAATTTTCTTGTTATTTGTGTTGCAGCAATATGCGGCAAAACGGCTTCAGTGATCACCACAAGAGTTTGATAGAACATAGCAGATCGTACAACATCGAAACAGAACGCAGAGTCTGAAGCAAAGCTGCAGTGGTGAACGAATGTCGCTAATCAAACACGAGGACAGTATATTTCGATAACCGAATGACGAGTTCTGCGATGGGACGGTGGTGTTTGAACTGGCGATTCGGTTGTTGACGAAGACATCGACGAGTCGGATGCTGATGGAGAGTCGGGACATTCCTCCACTGACAACGACACTGTACGCGGTGCTGCTGGTGACACTGTGCGACGGAATAACGCCGCCTTTGCCTCACGTTCAACCGAAAACACATTTCGACGAGGCTCCAGTTCACCGATCCTAAATTAAACATTTCTTCAATATAGCACTGAGCACAATCCATAGAAACGGCAGGAATCCGTGGAGCATTGTTCAAAATGACGTTTTGAACAATTCTGAACGATATGACCACTCTGAATNATATGACCACTCTGAATCGTTTGTTTTCTTATGTAAACCTCATCAATACAAACAAATCGCCATGCCATCAAAAAATTTTCATCTCTTGTGCATGCTTTATAATGCGCGAATCGCTGATACTTCTGTCGTGGTAGATTGCGATGTTAGACCCCGTAAACAATTTCGGTTTAATAAGTGCCTTCTCGATTTATGACACAGTTATTCAAAATTATTTATTTCATTAATATAATCAGTTCAGTACAAAGTTCATTTCAGAACGTTATCACTCTTTTTAAATTCAGCAGCAGCAGCAGCCTTTTCATCTATTGCCTACATCTCCCAGGTGTGCACATTGAACCTCTTCTATCCTGTGAGACTGAACCGCCGAACAACATATTTCGCCGCGGGAGGACTCGTTGCGCACGTTTCTCAATCCTTAAATGATCGTTCAAAATCAAAGAACTCCTTTTTAAACCCAAAATATTCACAATCTTATATGCAGCTCCATTACTTCAACCGAAATATACAGAAATTCATACATATATAGGCGCGCCCGAAAAGGTCACAGGAGGTTCGTCTGGTGCCCCTCTCTCTGGAACTTGGAAGGAAAGGGAAAAAAACAGGGATTGAGAAGGAACAAAGGAAGGAAATAGGATAAAGAAGGGGTAAAAGGGGGAAGAAAGTGGAAAGGAGAAAACACAAAAATAAAC